AACTTACGAACTGAAATAAGAATCTCACAACTGACAAACACTACGCTGAAGCACAGAAGATACGGAAAAAATGCATTTATTGTGCAAGTTCTCTCATTTTCTATTGAACTCGAACGCTTTTCACACTTTGCTGCACTGCCGGCGATACGAAACGGTCAGTCATTCAATGCTTCTGCCTCTCAATACTGGATTCTCTCTCTCTTTCTCTCTCTCTCTGTCTTACTGTTCAGTACGTTTCAAAAAAAGCACTGGCGGAGTTTGTTGTGGGTAAGAATGTGTTGGGGCTTACACAAAGTGACCAAACTACTTTCCGCACAAATGCACAGCGAGTAAACATCATCTTTTGGGTTCCTTATTCTCTTGGCAAACTACAACATTTGCAAATATTTGTTGATTTGTTGCTCATCTGGCCAAATATAGATGGTTGCAGGGGCAGGTATGCTATGTAGGTATGTAATTTAAATTCTTTAAGTTTCATGCTAGCTTATGTAGATATGTATGCAATGCATGCAAAATTTCCATTTGAAATATAAAAAAAAGGTAATAAAAGCTCGAATAGAATAAGGTAGGACCGCTCCGAGCCGTTTGATACTAAACGAGATCTCGGATGTCTACTCTAACCTAAATCTGGAGAAAATAATACGAACTGCAAAACTATCATAAATACTGTTATAATTTTTTTCAACCCGTCAGTACTGTTTTCTTCAGACTGGATGAGAAGGCGAGTCGAAAGGGTCAGGTAGTGTAGGAAGACAAGACGATGTCCATATGTCATGTCATCAAACATACAGTAAGTGCTTAGCTCCGACGTCACTATCGACCCTTATAACTTCGTGGTCGTACATAATTTTATCTATCTTGAAACCAACATTAACACCAAACATTATGACAGCCTGGAAATTCAGCGCCGAATCACTGGAACTCAAACTGAGTAGACAATTGAAAGGAAAAATCCTCTCTCGATTACCAATACCATTACGTACCATTACGTACTACCATTCGGAAGGCTCGGGTTCAAATCCTGGGGACATTCTAACATCCAAAAATTTAAAGATAATTAATTTAAATAAAAAATTGAGCAAAATTTTCTAATTGCGGTCGCCTCTCAGCAGGGAATGTCAACCCCTCCGAGTGTATTTCAGACATGAAATAAAGGGTCCTCATAAAAACACTAACAGCCGTTCGGAGGCGACTTAGTATGAACTTTGTTATAAGAACATCAAGACGCAAAACCACAAATTGGAGGAGGAGCTCGGCCGAAAACCGCTTCAGCGGGTAGAAGAGTTCCTTCCATTGTTAGTTCGTCTGCCATGCAATTGCCTGGGATGCCCCTATGTCCAAGTACTCAGACAACGACAGCGCTATATTTAATTGGTTAAAAAAGTGTCTACATTTATGAACACTTTTGACGTGGCACTATTACATTGAGAGAGATCCAATTTGTGGTTTTGTGTCTTGATGTTTTTCCAACAAATGGAGGGACCTACAGTTTATACTAAGCCGCCTTGGCGATGTCAATTGGCCACCGATTTCGTGCGGTTTGACACCGTTAGACTTTTAATTGGGGCTACGCGAAAGACGGTGCTTATACGGATAAACCTTAAACTCTTGAGCAATTGAAAACCAACATTCGGCAAGTTATGGCTGACGCAACGCGCAATATGTGTCAAAAGGTGGTCGATGATTAACTCAAACGGCTCGAAGTTTGTGATAATGATTTTTTTTTATAATGGCAAGCTTAAAACTTTATAACAAACGGGTAATTTGAATAAAAATTATATTTTAATTGCATTTTATTTACGTTCAATTTCGAAACCGCAAAATGGATAACCCTGTATTTCCAATCTGAGTAGACATATAAAATTTGCATCATTTAGTGTGTGCACTAACCAAATTGGAATATATAAAATTTATATAAATACATACATATGTCCATATATAACGGTAATAGCTTTCAAACTTTTTTCAAAATACAATTAATTAATTTCCCATACTGAACAGCATATACATAAATGAAAAAATAATTCATTTCACTAAATTCAAGGTTTTGAGAGCTTTAATTGAGCTTTTTAAATGACCAATTCGAATGATTTCACGATGATGGGAAACGTAAAATTGAGATTTACATATGAAGGAACCTACTGCATACATATAAGTATACATGTAAATATGTATGCATGTACATACATATATTGAGTGGATATCAACCATTGAAAATTGTTTAATTAAATCATTTAATTTGAGGTTATAAGGTTGCATTTCACTTCCATCTGTTTGTTCTTACATTAGGCATGTATGTATGTACATATGTACATATGCTATGAACAGCAAGCGTGGGCAGAAAAGGTTGACTCTGTGTGAATACTGGCTAGACTGATGGATAGATGGAAATTACATTTTTTAATACAATTTTACGCTGCACACATTTACAAAAACATACATATGCACATATACATACATATGTATACACGTACAAACCTAACAACATCTGACAGCGACTTTTAGTTGAATTTTATCAATAATATTGAGACTCATTGGCTAGTGTAGTATATTGAGTTGTCTGTCAGTGGAGAATAGCTTTGCAGATTGAACTTTTTACCATTGTATGTAGTCGTGTGTTCTTTTATTAAATATAGTAGTGAAGGAATATAATTTAATTTGATTAAATTTTTATTTATATTAAATTTATATTTATATTATTTTGTGTATATACAAAGGTGGATGCAAGAAAAAAAATTAAAATGGGTTCTTACAAGTACATAAATATGTATATATGTACTTATACATACATATTTTTATAGAATTTTTATGTGGCAAAATTTTTAAATTACATAAAATCGAATTTTAAAATTATGTTTTCTTTTCAAATTTACGAGTTATCAGGTTATTTGTTTGTTATTTGTTCGATTAACTAATTTTGACTTATCACTTGCAGTTTGAAGAGCGAGAACGCGAAAACTTTTGGGCTTTCCCAAGTCATAATTGGTTAATTTGGTTTTTTTTTTTTAACTTCAAATTTTACTAAATTTTTTTTTTGTTTTTTTAAATTTTATTTTATTTTTTTTTGTTTTTTTTTTCCAATTTTATTCGAATTTTTATTGTATTTTTGCATATTATTTATATGCAGTTACAATAAATAACTCTAGTCGGTCCAACACTGACTATCTTAAGCGCAGAGTCTTTGTGTAGCACATCTTTTCACATAGAAGGTTTTCGGTTGACCATCTGAATACTGATTTCTACGTGGAACACTTTTTTGTCTTATTAACGGTTTTAAAATGATGTTATGAAAAATTATTCACTTTATGCAAAATTAAAATAAAAATAAAACATTTTTTGTTGTAAGTTTTAAGTAAGCCTTTGTTTGTTTGTACAATATGAATTCTCCAGCAAAATTCAATCAGAGAATGCAGAACACAACTCATACAAGTTAGAGTGCTGAGACTTCCTATGGCAGCGATCGAATCAACAGATCTTGAACGGAACATGACATGCGACTGTTCTATCACTGCGACAACATCAACTACGTATTTTACTTGGATTGTTGTATTATTCAATTCATAATTAATTAACAATTATTAAGTACGCTAATTTAAAACATTTTTATTTTTTTAACATTAAAAATGCATAATTTCTATTTACTTTTTTTATCAACAAAAATTAAATATTTTATTTGTTTTTTCTTCTTTTTTATTTTGTGGTGAGTATTTTAAGAAGAAAGCACTAGAAAATTTTCCAAAAAAAAAAAATTATTTTTTTTTTATTTTTATTTAAATTTTAAATTCCAGTAAAATATTTTATTAATTTTTTTCTTTCTTTTGTCGCGATTTTTTATAGCATATTTATGGCGCCATGGAAACAATAGAAATTTTTTTTTGTAATGTTTCCAATTAACAAAAATTCCAATTGCACAAGAAGTCACTACTTCACGTTTTATTTTTATATTTTTATACATACATACATATGTATTAGTATTATCGTGTATATTTTAAAATAATGGTGGTTCATTTTCACACTTACATCAATCACTTTATTTAAATTTGAGCTTCACAAACAAGATTTGGAACTCTTAGAACTTTTGTTGCACAACTCAAATAATAACCTCAGCTTTCAAAAGATCAGAGAACAGAAACAGAATAACAAACACACAACAAATAACATCATTTCCACTTGTTTTTATTTTTCAATTTTTTGTTTGTGTTTTTTTTTTTGTATTTTTTTTTTTTTTGTCGACAAAGCAGAGCAGCAATACTGCTCACGTCAACTGCAGCAGCACAATCCACTGTTGCGACAAAGATATTCTAAATTTTATTTGTTTGTACTGAGCAAATATCAGCAGCGGCAGCGCTGTAATGTGAGAAGCTGCCAAACTGCTTTGGGCATACACCGTCACATTTCAAATTATAGACGACAAATGCACAAAATACACACAGATACACAACACATGGCACATGTAAGCATACATAAATATTCTTTCATTTCATACATATTATTTTATTCTTCGTCTTGAGATTTCTAGCAGAGTATTTCTTGTCGTAGTCGTCGTCGTCGTCGTCGTCCTCTGCTTTTGTGGTCATTCGCTGACTCGACGCTGCGTCACGGTTCAGCTTCCACTTGGAAAACCTGATTTGCTTCTATTCACTGCTTATACACACACTGACATCACTACCTACTTTCCATATGATATTTTAGGTTTACATGCATAGTTATTTAAATGCGTATCTTCTGACTGAGGAATCACATAAATTTTTGTATATTTGAATTATTATAAACGCTTTCTTTTTTGTACTTACATATAGAAATATTTTTTTTTCTGAACTTTTCTTAATTTAAAATTTAATAAAAAATTTCGTTACACATTTCCATTCCATTTTATTTCACATCATTTCATATATTTTCTCTCATAATTCTCGTATATTCACATTTTAATACTTTTCGTTAAAAAAAAATATGTATGTATGTAAATAGAAATCAGATTTACACATGAAATTATCACATACCTTTTATTCAACTTCAAAACTTCTTCAGCTAAAATTTTAGTAGCAAAGTGCAGAGGCAACAGCACTAAAAATTACTTCACTTCACTTCCACTATTTACTCTGCTGCTACCATCGCTGTTAACACTAACTGCTACGCTGCCGATGTTATTTTTTGCTCTGTTGCTTAATAAAAGAATTTCGTTGTTGGTGGTATTATTTTTATTCACAATTCTGCTACAGCCGACGTTGGCGGCACAGTACACTTTACACGTATCAAAATACCGACACTTCACATAAAACCATAAAACTCTGTAGCAGAGTATAACCGGCGGCAGAGAATACAACAAGTATCTATATAGATACAAACGTACCCACATACGGAGCGCAACGTGTTAACCAATTGAGTGGCGGCGATGTACTGTTAGAGCAGTTTTCTGCAGTCACACTCGAGCGCTACGGTTTGTTTGTGCGTTTTAATCTTTCGCTCAGCTGGGTTGTGTGCGACTGCGAAATTAAAGCAGTAGATACACTTTTTCATTCAAATGTTTATTGTGCATCTTTAGATTTGTCAAAGTATGATTGAAGTGTAAGTAAGAGAAAAAGGAGTAGTGTAGTAATGAAGAGCTGAGATGGAAACAACTTTCTTTCGTCGCAATGTTTTTTTTTATATTTTTTTATTTCTTTTTTGTTTTTAGAAAGATAACTTTGACCGCGTTTTCCCTCGAATTAAATGTGAAAATGATTCTAATAAGATTCTTAATTTTTTTTCACGCTCCAGTCGTTGGCCTAAGGCTAGCGTATTAATTTATGTATATTTTTTTACTTAAAATGAAATAAATCTGAATCAGCATCTGAATCCATATTTCACACTATTTGGTTTTGTAATAACATAAGTTTTCACATAGTAATTTAGGCAATGAGTTCCGTCGCTGGTCCGCTACCCGGTTGGTTGGTTGCCAATGCAATGGTCTGAATAAAGCCACTTTTAATGCCAATAAATTTTCACCATTAGGCATTAGACTACGCAAAGCAGTAGATTTCCTGCTGAGTCAAAAACTTTCAATTCGGTTATTTCAGTTAGAACAACTATGAATATGGTTCCAAAAAGTCCGAAACTAAGCAGAGCAGTCGCATAAAATATGGGTGATGATTTTCTCATCATGATCATTAGTAGAACTTGTACATCTGTTCTATAAGAAGCTTCTAGTCATTATTCATGTTGTCCTGTCAGACAGTGGCCTTTCAGAACTTCTATTATTTTGAATAGGTCCCCTTTTTGAAGTAGTTCACATCTCGTGATTCTTTTTGTCTCATTTCGGCTACTTTTCATGATTTTGCGACGAATTTTAAATTTTCATAGGTATCTTAGGTAGCAATGCTTACGCCTAAGGTGTATATCCTTCAATTTTCCAAATATCAATCAAATAGAACCACAAATACGACTTTTCCGAAAAGATATGTCTCTCATCATTCGGGACAAATACATTTATATATTGATATGTAATAAAGCAAGAAAAAAGTTCGCACTAGTCTTTTCATTTATAAATTATTTATATCAATTTATTAAAAAAAATTGTTAAGCTAATTACGGATATACTGGTTTGAGATTTTTTCCGTATTTTGTTGCAAGAGTATTTTTATATTAATTTTTCATAGTTGGATTCTGATTCATCTGGTATCGGGGGCGTCTTACAGCATCAATTTTTGAACATTTTGTAGAAATTTGTATGTACAAAGTAAGAGCGGACCTCATCTAATCAATCGCAAAATATATAATTGCTTGAATATGAAATAATATAAACTGAAATTCGTAAATAAATGACCACAATTACCGTCATTTTTAAAGCGATTAAAACAGAAAAATTTTTCTAACTAAGCCTATGCTGTCTTTAGTATTAAATTTAACGTCAACGTTTAATTTTCCCCAATTCGTAGATTCTCGACAACCCAGGTGAACGAACAAAGAAACCTAGTTTTCTTCAGATGAAACAAATTTTGGTTATGAGTTACTAGATTCCATCTAAGGAATGATTTATTAACTGCTACATCCAATTGGTGCTGAATAACAGCTGTAATAGTTTTAGTCCAAAGGACTATTATCAGAGCATTTACTACAAGTATTTCCGACACGAAGGACTTGTGATTCCCTGACGAGCGGTGGCCATAATTGGAAAAATTATTTTTCAGGACTAGAACATTTATTAAGATTTATTATATGTAATATGTGAAAATTACTTTTTATGCAAAATTTTACATGAATTTAACTATATCATTAGTTTAAAATAAAATAGTTTTTATAAATATTTATAACTGAATTAAAATTAATAACAATTTCCGAATTATTATAAATTTTAAGTTTTACAATTAAAATGTAGCAAACCAGTGTAATTTCGGCAGATAAATCAAATTGTAGTATTCCGTGCAAACCAATTCGACACTTTTTTCCAACACTGTTATATTGTCGTAAACACGCACTCATTTAATTCTCTCTTTTGCTATGTAAACGTGGCTAGCTCTCTCTTTTGTTTTTAATAGTACCACCGAAAGAACGCTCTCTGTGTCTCTTTACCTGTTGCACTTTGTTTGTTTACAAATCGGATTTGTTGTAGTGTGTTCCGTAAAGTGTTTGAGTTTCTTTTTCACGTGTGCTCTGTAGGAACGTAAAAGAACGATGTCTGAGAAAATAAATTAATAGATCCCCGTTAAAAGCAACATACTCCATTGCCAGTGGTTGTAAAATTGTCTAAAAATGGTAAAGAATCCTATTTTAAAATTATATATGTATATATAGCCAAGTTTTTGGGGAAGAAGTATCATTCTCCCCGACCACAGTCGATGCGAACCTTGCCTAACCGAAATAAATGAAATGAATGACGTCTGCACATCCTACTGCTTACCCTCCTGCTTCGTTGAATTCGAGTAGTATTTTGTTCAGTGCCAGCAGCCATAGCCGTTGATACGAGTTACACAGCTCCTTTGGCCCTTAGCACTCCCACATGGAGGTCCGTTTTTCAGCAATCTAAGGTAGTCGCTTCGATTTCCGCGGAGCTGCGAGGCTCCGAGATATCTAAGACGAGCTCTAGTTAAGGCCGAACATCTCACTCATATATTTTTCCAGCACTTCTTACATCAGTCACCTCTATAGCTTGTATGGGATGTCAGTAAATGGTTCACCCTCATTATCATAAGCAAAGGTCCTGTTGTTGTTGTTTGTTGTTGTAGCTGCTACGTTAATCCCGCTAAAGGGCAGGATTAAAATCAATCTAAGTGACCGAGCTCATCTAACGGGAGGTCCAGGAAACGTGCTGTTTCGTCGGGATCGGATCAGAGGAACATCGGTTTAGATGTGTCGGCTCAAGGGGGCATGTGAAGTGGTGGTTAGTATCGTGCGGATACTCTCCACATGCTGGTCACACGTTGGGTATGTTGGGGTCGAGTCTGGATAGGTAGGAGTTTAACCTGCTACAATATACATACGACCGGCCGTCCAATTGCGTTATTTTCACATCACAAACCTACACATCTAATTCGATCCTGTATTACTTCGTCCGGCTGGTGAAGAGGATAGAAGAGGAATTCGTCGGTTGCATTTTAAATTGCCTTGCAGTGAAGAAGTGGCACAAATCGGCGAGATAGCAGTCCCCTGCAGCCCTTACGTGACGGTGTTAGCAAGAAATGCATATTTTCTCTACTGCGATTGCATATGACCTTGGTGGTTTTGTACATCTCACCCTGATCCGATCTACAGCGATTTCAGAAATTTCATTATAGATTGATTCCTGTCCTGTTAGGTTCGCTAGTAAGACAGATGGCATTTTAGGCTATTTTATTACCTATTACGTTTCCTATATTGCCCTCATGGCCGGAAACTAGAATATATGCCGACGTCCACCCTCGGCTGCCCTGTCTACTGTTTCTCTGATTCTAAGAACATTTTGAAGCAATACGATCTGAGAATATTGCCTTAATTGCCGCCTGGCTATCGACATATCGACATATACATATATTTGTAGCCGCAGAAGCGATTTTCGTCCAAGCACCTCCTCCAATTTGTTTTGATGTTTTTTCCAGCAAATGGAGCCACCTATACTTTATACTAAGCCGCCTCCGAACGGCTGATGGTTGTTTTTTTTTTTTTTTTTTGAGGAGTCTTTATTTCATTTCATTAATGCACTCGGAGAGGTTGACATTCCCTGCCGAGGTGCGGCCGCATCGACATACATACATATATATTGATATTATTTATGAAGCTTTCCACACCCCTGCGGGTTAGGGGCTCAAGAATTTACCCGCGGTAAGGCATGCCTGTCGTAAGAGGCGACTAAAATCCAATAGTTCCCGCGACAGTCGGGTCTTTGTACCGGAACGACCCGAATTTTTATCCGACCAAGGACTGTCACTCCCGCAACATTCCCCAAAAAGTACTTTGGGGAATAATTTTGCGGTTACAACAACAACAACAACAACAACATGAAGCTTTCCACGTCACTATCTATCTCTAGTCTAGCTTCAGTCATTTTTAATCCATTAGTGTATATGTCATACGCTCCCCTGGCGGATCACATGTTCCTGTGCCATCCACCCTCTTAAGCATAGCTTGAAACCTTTTCTCCCAAGAGAAACGTGGGGGCTTGTGGTATATTTTTTACACCATACACCTGTCTGTCGAACCGTTCCCCAAGATTCTAGCGGATAATTCACCTAAGGCTATCAATCTCCATACAGATAAACATACATACACCAATTGTCTTCTCAATATATCAAGCAATCGTACAACTTTATTTATTCTCGGAATATTTTTCCAACAAATTTCACTTAACCTGAATTTAAACGATTCGGCGATTTCTACTGCAGTAAATCTTAAGTTAAGTTTGGACCCTTTGTGTGTTATGATGTGTGTCTGTCATCAGGACATCAACGTTAACACACATCCACTGCATATCAAATGAATTGAACGGAGTGTTATAAGCCATCACCACACGGTTCACACCTGTTGTCCCGCCGGCTTCTGAGCTTCTGACTTTCACACTTCCATGCTGTATGCTATTTCATATTCCTTATGCATTTGTGTTGGGCTAATTACTGAAGTAACTTTGTATTTTCATATAATATATACGTACGTGTGTACTTGTGTTTGTATGTATAGAAATAATTACAAGGGATCAAACGCACAAATATTATATTATATTATATATGTATGCATACAAAGTCTGTGTAGATTTCGCTGATATATTCATATGAATATTAAATACATATGTTTGTATGTATGTATTGTATGCTTCTGAAGTTATTATGTACGAGTATATGAATATATCTGGGCACGTTGAGATAGGATTCAATTAACACTCTATCTTCTTCTTCCTCTTTACTGACGTAGGCACCGCCAAGTTAAAAACAGCGCGTGAATCA